ATACTTCCAATGAATTGGTAAGACCCCCTTCTGAGTCCAGCACACCCGTCCTATTCTGGGTGCCATATCTCCAGAAGGATTCAACCTTCAAGATAAGCAGCCATCAGGATAAGCAAAAGACTGGAAAATAAGTCCTACCAAGAGGGTCTGAAGGAACCAGGAAACTTTAGAAGGGGTGGGTTCCTCTTCACTTGATGTATTCAGGCGGGGTTTGGATTGCCATCTGCCTGGAATGCCTTAATCTGGATTAAGCAGGGGGCTGGACATGATGCCCTCAAGATCTACTTCCAACTAGGATTCTATGGGAATCATCATTTGTGGCCCATTCTGCATCCTTGTGGGCACTCCTAGAGACTCAGCCAACCTAGGAACCTTGGGTTAGATCAAATTACCTATCCCCCTTTCCCACCCCCGTTCCTTTCCTGTCAGCTGGAGATGTAATGGAATTTGAGAGGTTCTGCACACAGACCAGATGTCCTGGCCATCACCAACAAGGGTTCCTACAGCATGCCAAATCCTAAACTGGGGCTAAGAAAACACAATTTCTGTACCCACTTTTCATGCTACGCTCCCCCCAACATATGATACTTTGGGAGCTGGGGAGAAAGAGGCCCCACCATGACATAGTGAGGAGTCTGGGTCTGAGTAGCTTAACAGAGAGTTTGAAAAAAGCCATGATAAGACAGGGAGCTACGCAGGGGAACAAATACATGACATAGCAAGGTGACCTTTCTCAGGTACCAAAAACATCACAGTGATGCTGTGAGCAATTTAACTTATGCACCTCTGCCTGGCTGAATCAGGGTAGTTCGATCATGAAAAAAGAAAAAGAGTGCTTCTTTTTGTAGGACACCTTATATTTCAAAATACTATAAGTTTTGGGCTAGAACATACATCCAGGGGACAGTCTTGCTGGGGTCCTCCCTTACCCATCCTCCCATGGACTTTAAATGCAGGGAACAGACAGGAATAAGACCTTTCTCTCCTTCTTCCTCCTCCTCCTGAGCAATCCTCCAAGTATTTCTGTTGGCAGAGTTACCCAACATTAGCTTACATACATTATGATGTGGTAGAAGTCATCAACAGGATGACTAATGGCTTGGGGAATTCTGGTTCTCCAGTGGTTTTTAAATTGACCGTTCTTTCTCTGACTGATCGTCCAGTTGTCTCCTGCTATTACCTACCAGCATCAGTGCCCCCTTTATCTGCTGGATCTGGAGGGGCCCCCAGGTCACTTTAGGTTGTAGTTTATGGGAAAGGAATCTTCAGGTAGACAGAGCATGACATTCAAAACGTGCGAAGCCAGCTGTGCTATGCTTAGCGGGCCCCTTGCTTATTCAGCCAAAGGAGGCCTGGATTTCTGCCTCCAAATCCTACCCGGTCAGTCCATCTGCCAAAAATTCATCCTCCATTTTCCAAAAACAGACAACCAAATGCCTCTGCAGTGCATGGAGGTATTGGGTGCCCAACTACTACCCCGCTCTCAGCAGCAACGGTGCATTGCCTCTGCAGATGGAAAGCTCCATTTGGTTAGGAATACAGAGAGATCAGGGAATTCTCATGGGAATTCACCCTTTTAAAAACCATCTGACCTGGTGGCCTTCACCCCATTTGGGGGAGGAGAGCCTTTCAAGGTGACGTTCAACGGACAGAGAAAGCAAAGTTCAAAAGACTTTTTGACCAATCCCCTTTTTGCTCCTGGAACTGGCCTAACCTATTTCACAGGATTGTTTTGAGGAGCAAATAAATGCTGGGGGAAGGATTTTCTCTGTCTTCCTGAGCTTCTTGGAGGAAAAACAAATTCATTGCCCAACATCCTCCTTTTCCATGTTGTAAGTTTCCTCCATTAGCAGTCATGTTGGTTTGGAAGTGTACGAGTCGTAATTTAAGACAGCTCTCTGAAAAGAGGATTCTTCTTTCTTTTTTTTTCCCTGGCCTTACCTGCCTCCAGTCTAAGGCTTAAATACAGGGAGATTCCAGGATCTCAGATGTGGCGTTTTTTGCTCTGTTCAAAAACTTTTAAACAAATATGAGGGAGCCACCAAGTGGTAGAAAACAAGAAAGAGTCACTGTGGGACACTTTAAATCTTGTTGCCCAACTGCCAGTTAGAAGTGCTTCAAAACCAGTATTTCAGTAAATAAGTTTTCACGATTGCCGTGTTCCACACATGAACACCCCAGTATGTTCACAGGATCATTATCCTTGATTTATTTGTAAAAAAACCTATTTTTAGTGTGCCATCCCAAGAGTTCAAGTTGGTGAATAACTAATCCTTATTGAATCAAAACATTATATCTAGGACAAGGCCTGCAGGGGGGAAAAAAACCCTATCTGCTAATAGTAGGACTGCCATGAAAACAAGAATGTAGGAAAGCGTTTTTAAAAAATCAGAAACACAACGTCACTTTCAAAAATCCCATCCAAACCATGTTAAATCTGAACGACTAGGAACAAAAAAAATTGAAAAATGGGATTTACAGGTACACAGTCATAGAATAGGAAGGGATCTCAGAGGTCATCTAAGTCATCTGCCTGCTTAGTGCAGAATCTATTAGAACATCTCTGATGGATGTCCATCCCGCCTCTGGCTAAAGATTTCTAGCACAGGAGGCCTCACTATGTCTTGTGGCACTGGCTAGCAGGCTGTACAATCAGGAAGTGCCTCCTGATGTCTGGTCTCAGCCTCTTTTATTTATTTATCGCTAAACTGAAATGAAATGAAATGAAAGATGACATTGAAACATTCAGACAGCATGGCCACCTCCCCAGCAAAGAAACAAGTCACGACTATAAATAGAACCAATCTAACTTCTTATAGTAAAGATTGCCATGAAAAGACCAACAACACGTGCAGGGTTTGATAACGTTATATTAAATTAAAAGATAAAGAGAACCCAAAGGCAAAAGCATTCAGGTTTTACATAAGGGTAAGTACAAAACAGAGTCTAAACTTAGTTCCTTCTCAGGCATATCCAACAGCTTAGGACAGCAAGAGCAACAATGAGAAATTTTGCAGCCTTTTTAGAACTGTCAGCAGATTGATCCTGCAATTGCTGATCTATAATTACTGATGGTGCTTGGTCGGAGAATTTACAAGACGTGCAACAAGTTCAGGAAGCCAGGCAGGATATAAAAGGTAGTTTAAGAGCATATGAGTCAACTTCAGTGTCTAAGCAGATGCAGAGGCAGTCTTGATAAGGAGCATTATAATATTTTCTCATTGTCACACTTGAGGGCAATTGATTTGCCCTTCTGTGTGGAAACTTCCTGGCACCCATTCAGACTTCACACTAAGCCAGGATTCATTTAACCATGGTTTGTTGAATAAACTATAATCACCTTGCTTGGTATATCACACTGAGCCATAAATCAGGGCTTACAGACCACAACCCATTGATTCAGATATTGAGCTAAGCCAAAGCAACAACAACAAACAGTATGAAATGAAACTTGTGAGACTGAGCATCACTGTTCTACTTCTTCCAACCTTGAAAACTATTCCCTGAATTATTTGGGGGCAAAATACAAAAAATTATTTAGGAAACATTCTACCCGGAACTGACCAGAACACTCTCTTTAGATTTCTGATAGCTACCACATACTGATTTTCTGAACTAAAATCTGAAGACTCTTCCTTAAGCACCAAACAGGCTCCATTTTGGAGGGCAGAAGAAAATAAGTATCTACTTTTATAGAAACCTTAGCTGCTGGCTGGGTTCATAGAAGACATTTAATAAGTCAGCATTGCCATAGCACTCCCTCTTCCCATTTTCCCCTATACTGTAACAACATCCCTGTGAGGTAGGCTAGAGTAACACAAAGACTGAATCAAAGTCCCCCAGCTAACTAGAACCTGGTTTTCTTACTCCTAGACCAACCAACACCTTTACCACTGCACCACAATGGCTCTCAGTGTGAGCGCACCCCAGGGCTTCCCTATGAAATGCTGATCTAGATAGGCAATGTTCACCTTTGCAGTGAGAATGACTCAACGTGCCAATTATGCTCATGGTGAAAAATCAGCCGCTCTTGCCAAAACCGAGGGCTGGTTGGTAAAGGACAACTTGGCCTTACAAAATCCAATTTCTGCGTTACTTTTGGGGTGCCCTTGGCAGAGCCTGAATTATGACCTCAGCATCAGATGCCAAGGAAGAGTACAATGGACCTTTTTTCCTGCATCTTTGAGAACAATGCAAAATGGCCCCTGGTCTTGTCACTCTCCAGAAAGCCTCCGCCGTCTTGTTATACGTTCACCCCGTCCTTCAGGGAGGCAGGGAGAAAGCAGCATCCTGTTAAATCCAGTTCTTTGGGGCAATTTGGAGCAGGGCTACACATCCGTTGAGTAAGCCCTTCCGTTTTGGCCAACGTTGCAACAAGCTGTGAAATTCTGTCGGCTTAGATAGACGGATACTCAGCCGGCCTTGGGAGCGCTGGTCTGAAAGCATCTGACATCTTAGCAGACAGATCATCAGCGGGGGCCTATTTTTTAATTTCCTGCATTATTACGCCTGAATGCCATTTATGCATATTCTGAATAATGAGACAAGACAAGCCATGTGTTGTAAGGGGATGCTAAAGAAAGGGCAGCTTAACTCACAAAAAGCAGCGATCTCTGGATGATTCGGCACTAAACAAGGGTGTGCAACGTGGGTGCTGCCAGAAACTTTGGCCTTCAGTTCACATCAGTCCCACCCAGCAGGATGAATGGCACAGGATTATGGGGTGTTGTAGTCCAAAACCTTGCTAAAACATTGGGTTGCCTAAACTCTGCATAAAACCTGAAACAGCCGAGGTTACAATAGGGAAAGCTGCCTGTATTCAAGGGGAGGCATCAGTATTCCAACCCAGACAATATTCAAATCCAGTTAAATGTAATCATTAGAAGCGTAAGAGAACTGATAGATTGGATTACAGCTAAGGCATCAACTTCTACAGGATTAGAAAAGGGAATTCATTCAGTTTATGAAACAAATTTACGCCACTGCATTCTCTCTTATACCTCATACAGGGTTCCATCAGGGCAGTGAAGCATTCCATGGCCTTGTCTCTGATCCAGGATCCAGTCGCCTTCAAATTCATCCCCATTTCTAAAAAGGAAGAGCCAGGAGAATTTATTTTAGATGACTCAGTACATGGACTTTAAAGAAAAAAAATGCACACGTTTCTCCGACTAAAAGTATCCAGGGCCTCCATCTGGGGGAACCATACAAAAATGAATGCTGGGTATATAATGGTGAAGCCTAGAAGTACAAAGATCTGGATTCAAATTTCTACCTTCGCTGTTGCCCTACTCATCAACTCTCTGTCTACTCTACCCTAAAGGATTGCCATGAGAATAAAATAGGGGGAAAACTATGAACCCGGACCTCCTTGGAGGAAAAACAGGATAGAGATAAGGAAAATCATATAACTAAACCCCATGATCATTATGATTTTGTAACACAATCAATGAAATTAGAGTGGATTTCTTAAAACAGTAGTGAGCCGTTAAACAAAACAAATTTAAAAAATAACCAGTGATATATTCTGAAAAACAGCTGGCAATAAACTGAGCATCACATCACACGCATTGGCTGCCTCAATAGATAGATAGCAGCAACTCCCAGCCTTATCTGGGCTCAGAAGCCAAGCAGGATCAGGCCTGGTTAAGCACTTGGATGGGACACGGCCAGGAAATTCCAGGGCTATAAGCTTGACCCAGAAGTTGAAAAGATATTCTGGAAGACAGCAAGGGCAAACCACTTCTAGACCGTCGCCCAGAAAACCAAATGGTCCCTTCCACGAAGTCGTCAAGAGCGAAGCTTGACCTGAAGGAGAATTTACTTTTTTGACACCTTGGGAGCATTTGCAGACAATATTAAGCAAAGGTTTCTTTAGCTCTGTTTGGCTTCTGAAGTCATGCTGGTCCTGTTCACATGTACAACGGAGTCTCTCTAGCTTGGCTCACACACGGTGCTAGGCCAGACACAAATCCCACGACGGGAACCCAGGGAAAGAACGCACTTCAATAAATCAGACTAACTCATATTAAGTGGTTATACGCCACATCTAGCTTCTCTCCTGTTCTTGCTCTTCCAGGGTTCTGTGACTAGCTGTGGATCTTGGTTGCTGCCCCTTCCTGAAAAATCACTAGCTTGAAACCAGCTAAATGGTTTCAGGCTAGAAAATAATCAGAAAAACTCACGGGAAAGTCATTTTTCCTCCTCCGTGTTTTTTGTTGTTATGAAAGCATCCTTGGTAAGTCTCTCCGTCCTTTCCAGTCAGTGATCCGTAGCCTATGAAGAAGATTTTGCATGGAAACAAAGGGAACTGGTTGAAACAAGCAGATGTTATACAGAAAGAAACAATGCCAAAGGTTAAAAAAATATATCACTAATTACTGCATAAATGCTGACATTTTCTTGGCTATTCTAAAGGACCTGATTTGAAAGGTAGAACTAAAGTTATTTAGGAAAGGAGAGGACCTGTCAGGTTCAGCCCAAAGAACTCCCCGAGACAGTGCAGATACAGTTCTGTTGCGTTTCTTAGCTTCTACCTCAAGACAGAAATCTGTCCAGACGGAATCAAACTCCCCAAGCCAGCAAGCCACAACGCCGTGAATTCCTTAGGGTGGTGCCAGTCTCATCTTCTTAAACGTCC